TCCCTAATCTGGAGGTGGAGAGAAATGGTTCCTGTGCTGATTTGGTGGTCATGTTTCTCAGCCACACTATTACAGATCTATTAGGAAAATGGTCATAATAAAGAAGACAAAAGTAAAAAGAACAGACTACTAGTTGGAATAATTTATTTCATTTCACCAAACATCTAAAATTCTGATAACTGTCTTTCACAACTGGAGCTATAGATGTCTCATAGTGAGTGAATAAAATGCAACTTTTGCAGTATTATTTCCTGTGTTCTGCATTTTTGCCCCATTTATGCATCTGAAAAAACACACTTCAGGTTTTGCTGTACCTATCTGGTTTTGTGTGTGTGGTTTGTTTCTTTTTTTCTTTTTCCAAAATGGGTTGGAATATTTGCAAGACTAAAATTTAAATAAATAGGTTTCTTAGGTAAATCAAAGGTCATGTATTTCTCTCACCTTGAGGCACATGAACTGGTCTTTGTTTTTTCCCTCTCAGCAGGTCATTTCAGTTGCAAAAGTAGAAAAATGTAATTTTATTTCTTAATGGTATTTTCTCTCTTCAAATTCATTTTAATGAAGTTATTTCAGGGAAATTTGTGAAAGATGTGTGACACTGTAGTGTCAAAATTTGTAGTTATTAGTGATAAGCAATGTATTATTGCTATTAATGTCAACCTTTGTATGAATGAGATTTACAGACATTTTAAAACAGTCTGTTTTCTTCTGTTATTAAATTTTAGAGACCGAAGAAACCACCACCTCCATCAGCTCCTATCATCAAACAAGGATCAGGTAAGGTGCAGTTGATGTTGTACAGCACACATCAGTGAGCACATCTCAATCTAAATTAAGAGTATTCAAATTTATATAGAATTCATCTGTATCAAAATTGGTAAGCAGGAGGTGTCTACAAAAGAACTAATAAATAAGACTCAAATTGCAAAAAGATGATAACCCTGAAAGGCTGGCGCACTTTTTAAATGTATTGCAGGCAACCATCTGCACCTTTTTTAAATACTGTATTTTACCCCTTAAACACATTAAGTCAGAGCGAGCGTTGATACTTCAGTTTTTACAAGTTCTCCAGCTCTGTTCCTTGACTGAAAGTGATTGTGTGCATGTCTTTGCAGTGTAGACCCAGTATACTGGAGTCTGAGAATACCTGCAAGAGGAAACTGCATTCTGCATCTACATCTACATCTACTTTACATCTGCAGATCTGGTTTATTCTAGAGATAAAGAGCTTTTTTGCACGTCCATAAGATAGTTTCAGAGAACTTGGCTGTAATACAATGGCCTCATCTGAGTTGCAGTTGAAGAGCTGCAGATCTGCATGAATGCCAGAGCTAGCTGTCTTGTCTGTCTGTCTCCAGGTTCTGTGACATATTTAGATTCTTAATTTTCAATATTTCATAGCCATAAGTATAAAACTAAATGGAGTTACCCTGAATCTGGTCATGTAGTTAATGGTTTTGCAAATGTATTAAGGGACTGATGATTTTGCAAACAGATGAGTACTAGCAAAACTGGCTTTGGAATATGTTAGACTAAACTGTGTATGAATACTAAGAGCTGAAACCACTTTTACTGGTAGTTTTAAAATGACCTCTTAATACAAATTTTCGAAAGTGCCTGCATGATTTATTTTTTCCATGAAACTTAAAAACAGTTAAAGTATCTACACACTTGGCAGTTCTGACCTCAGAAACCAAATTCCAGTTCCATTCAGCAAAAGGCAAGGGATGCTGTCAGGGTTTTCATTTGTATTGCAGCTGTGGTGGAAACATAACTACGGCTGGAATTCTTCAATCTCCTAACTCCAATCTATTTGTTAAAATTCTGCAGCAGCAATACCACTTCCTCCAGTGCTGGCACACGTTAAAAAAGTGAAACGAACACGTTCAATCTAGCTAGATCATTTTACTTGTCACCATGGTCTGTTCCAGCTTTCAGTGCTTTAAAATGTAAATTTCCCACTCCTGCAGTCTTGATCTATTAATAGAAGGAAAAGTTACACCCATTTACAATTTACTGTGAATCAATAAGCTATAATTTAACTAGTTTTAATTTGTCAAGCAGTTTTTGACTACAGAATCATGACTATAAATATTTGGTTTACTTATTGACACCCATGGTTTATTCTTCACTCTGTCCTGAGACTCATAAAAACATAAATTTGATTTTAAGATCAGTAAGAGTGTCCAGAGAGAGCAGTATAACTTTGCCATCTAGTGGTGTCTGCTTATTAAATATGTCATAGTCACAACTTTGGAAAAGCTCTGTAAAACATTATATTTCTTTCAATTTATAGGCCTATAATTAGAGAATACTGCTTTTAATAGTTTTGTACCTGTTAGCATGCAATGCATTAGCTCTGCCACCATAGGACAAAAATATGCATGTTTTCAGAAAGAAAAATGGATGTATAAAGGATGCAGACAATTCAATTAAGGCCATCTAAGTCTATGGCAAAGCCAAGGCTATTGCTGTTCTTTGTTTTCATACTTAGTCTTCAACAAGTCTTGGCTGATTGTCATAGAATCATAGAATGGTTTGGGTTGGAAAGGACCTTAAGATCATCTAGTTTCAACCTCCGTGCCATGGGCAGGGATGCCTCACAGTAGACCATGTCACCCAAGGCTCTGTCCAACTGGGCCTTGGACACTGCCAGGGATGGAGCATTCACAAACTTCCTTGGGCAGCCTGTTCCAGTGCCTCACCACCCTCACTGTAAAGAACTTCTTCCTTATATCTAACCTGAACTTCCCCTGTTGCAGTTTAAACCCTTGGTTTTTACAAGGGTGTCGTTGTTATGCACAAGAGTTTCTTCTGATATGTATGTAGAGGTGAAAATTATCTTATGTTTATTATGGATTATTATTACCATCCTGACATCGTCTACCTTGTCAAATTATCACTTTACTGAGATAATACTGTATTTTACCACATCCCCCCATCAGGCCTTACTGTTGATGATAGGTAACAACATCCAGTAATGTTTCTGTGTATTTAACCAATCATAGTGTGATGAATAAATTGAGAACGGGCAATTGAAGCCTAAATAATTAAATATCAGTATCTTCTGATGCAGAGTATAAAATCAGAGCAGAGAATTAGAGCTGGTCTTTGTAGTATAAGCAGCATACATATGAAGGAGGTGTCTAGTTTGTATTATAGTATAGCTGGAAGTTTGGCTGTATTTCCAGATCTGCCCAGCAGTAGACTTCCAGGGCCACCTGTGCTGGGTTACTATATGAAGTAATGCGAAAACTGGAGAGCCACAGTTAGGCGCACGAGTCCCTTTGAAGAGCATTAGGCATTTCACTGAGTATCTGGGATAAGCAATACACCTGCATCTAGTCTGGAGGGTGGGAATGCTCTTCTGAGTCTCTTTGGGAGCTTGTACAGAGTTCACCAGAGCTTCCTTGCAGGTGGCTTTCTTATGGCAGCTAAGGCAGGATCATGGTGCCTGCGTAGGTGCCGATTAATCTGGGGCTGACAACCCAAGCAGGGAGTAGACCTGGGCCTGGGAGCTCCTCGGTGTTTGTAGGCTTACTGGTTTAGACATGTCCTGAAAATATCCCTCTGTGTGTTAATGATGACTGTCAATCTTACTGTAATTAGGTATATGGGCTTGTGTCTCTTTTTCTTGAACATGCTAGTATGTGCACGACTATCAATATGTTGACTTGTGCTTTGCATAACTTGTGTTTAGAAAAGCTTTAATTTGTTTCTAGCAACACTTCAGGAGTGAAGTATTTTTATAGAACAATTTAGGCTGGAAAAGACCCTTAAGATCATAGAATCCAACCATAAAATGGGAATTCAGTATTATTTATTGCCATGATAAGTGATACAAATGCTGCCTGTCCAACAGCACAGTTATGTAAAGAAACAATGGCCAATGATAAGTACTGATTTCTAGGAACCAGCTGCAGAAGAGAGTTGTGACAGCACATTCAAAAAATGTAAATGTATTGGGGAAGTGCATATAATAGAATAGATTGAAGCATAAAATTGTCTGTGTTCCCTGCCCTGCCTCCTCACTTTTCTTGGATGTCATCTATTGTAATTTTTATTGGAATACTAATAATAATAATACAGTCTTAGCTAAAGCAATTTTCAACACTAGGAAGTTGAAATGGTGTTAGCACCTAGTAGTTAGCCAATGCAGTGAAGCCAATATCTGGTAAAGCATTTCTTGTAATATAAGGACTGGAAGATTGTTTCTTGCATGAGCCAGGAAATTTTTGCAAAATCTTCCCATTGTTGGGAAGTTTTGTCACAGGAACTTGTGTCACAAGTTCCTGTATTCCTACTAGCAACAGAAGTCAGTGTGTCAGGGTCTCTAGTACAGAGACAGAAGGCAACAGAGGCTTACACCTCCAGGCTATAAGCTGTCAATTAAAACAGTCATGCAGAATAGTGTCAGTACTACTGTTCTCATCCTTCTAATACGTGGAAGTGAACAGCTAGTACTAGAGTTGAAAAAGAGGAGGGTACTCAATGTAAAATAAGCCCTGTATTTGTCTGTATTATGTATTCTTTTGGCAGAAATGCCCAATTAATTGATTTATTCCTTAATCATTCTCCACCCTGTTGAACTGTTCTTCAGTTAAGTATGTCTGCGGCGGTAAAGGATCTTTCCACACTCTAAAAATCTGTAGTTATTGAATTATTTTTTTCTCAGGGAATGCTCAGAAAGCGCCTATTCTTTTGAGGTGCACACTTTGGAAACTCTGAACCTGATCTGTGAGAACATAAACATGTAATTGCTTTTTTGTCATATTGGTGTAAACAAATACTTGAATCTAGATTTACATTCAGTTTTAGCAAGACATTTTCAAATTGGAGCATGGAAAAAGCCTAAGAAATTGCAGAATTAAATTGTATGTGGCCTTATATGCTGGTTTGTTGACTTGTTCAGAATTCCAAATTTTCCTTTCTTTGACAGGTACTACAGATCGAAAGCATGAAATCAGAAAGGTGCCTCCTGAAAGGCCAGAATGTCTTCCTAATCGAACAGAAGAAAGAGGTATGAAATGTGCTTTCCTGCCTGCTCTCTGTAGAGAGACAGGGCAATGGAACTGATGCACATCCTGATTTCCCAGTTTCTGTTTTCATTAAATGCATTTTTTGGATGTTTATTTCCCACTCTGATAGATCTGTGATGGTACACATTTTAGAAAGGATCTCATTATTGCTTTAGAACTAAATTCAGGGTATTCAGTTGTACCAGTCCAGAGCTGGTAAGTGCTTGCAGCCTCAACTGAAGTCCAGGGGAGATATGCTCTCAATACATAAAATGCTGTCTAAAGCTCTGTGCTCGGTAAAACATGGGTCCTTGATCAAGTAAAATACCCCAGATTAGTATCTACTTTTTTCTTAGCGTCTATATGCTTTGGTTCTCTAGTTAAAAGCAGGGTTGGTGGTTTTCCTGCATCACAGAGGGGTTTTGTGAAGATCTAGTCATCGATGCTTATGAATCACCCCCTTATCATAGTCACAAAAGTCATAGGCAAGCCTGTGAAGAAATGAAAAAATTCTGTCTTCAAAGCCAGGTTTGAACATTGCAAGAAATGGGGCACAGCACCACACAGAGCAGTGACAAGCAAATTAAACCTTTAATGGTTTCATTGTATTCATTGTGCATTATGAATACTTTGGGGATAATAGTTACACTGATTCTCTAATGGTGTCAAGTTTCATATGTGTAAGCAGATTCTTAGATTATACAGACAGTTTGTTTATGGGGTTTCTTAACCTTTAAGTATTCAAACTTGAAGTCTTTTAAAAGGCACATGTATGCTCATGACTAAATACATAATACACGGTTACAATTCAGGGCCAGAACATTCAGACTTTGCCCCTTTTCTGGATATATGTCTTAGTATCTGACAGACGTTTTAGCAGTTTCGTCTACATATGTTTATTTTTGGTTATGTGTGCTACTTCTTGTGGTTATCTTAGCAATAAAACACTTCGCTTTCCAGTTTGGATTTAAGAAAGCAGCTGTCAAAATGGTGGACGAAGTATAAACATGATACTATCCCAGGGTATAATATATGTAGCTTTTCTAAATGTTGAAAAGAGGCTGTAGGAGTCATGCCTACATTTCTGGAGTACCAGGGAGTGGCAGGAATTGCTTGGTGTGGTGTGGCAGCAAGGGTGGCACAGGAATGTTCTTTACACTGTGTGTTGGTACACTGCCTAGCCCGTCCCTCATACATAGTTCAGATTCTTGGGCACTGGTGCAGTAGAAATCGCCATAGGTGCAAGTGTGTAAAAATTACACAATACACTGCAAAAGCTTCAATGTTACAGAGGACCCAACAAGTTGCATCAACTGAAAATGTGCTGAAAAAAGGGTATATGCCTGTGGACAGTCACTTACTGGACTATTCCAAATCTCATGTGGACTGTGTTTCTGGTAATTTATTCCATGATCTTCTCAGACTGAAACCTAGAACCCATTAAGCAATACCCTGTAACACTCCCAAGACCTCTTACATACAGACCATCTTACATACAGAGGTGTAATATTCACGACGTATTGTAGATAGTGTTATCAAGGGAAGTGGGTGTTAACATAATAGGATACAGAGAACAAAACTTTGGTCTCTTTGAGAGTTTTGTCCTTACTTTAAGAAGAATCAGGTTTCCTATGGTATGGCAAATGTGTTTACATGTTTCTTTTGTACTATGAATTTAGAGCATATTATTTACAGGAGTTATTCATATGTATTGTACTTTGCATGCTCACAGGCATTGTGTGTTTGGCAGTGGGTATTAGTATTGTGGCACTGCCCAACTATGCATAATCAGTTCTGCAAATGATCCAGTTTTTCACTGGCAGGCTGGAAACTTCAGCATGTAAGTCTGTGCTTGAAAACCTAAATAAAAGGTCTGATTTTCCTGAGGGGTTTACATCCTGCCAAACGTTGCTATATTTTAATTCTTGTATTTTCATTTAACTGTAGTTCACTTGAAACACACTTTTATTTTCCCCCCAGAAATGGTATTTCTCTGTTTGTTCAAGAGATGTTAAGAATATCCAGCATAATTATTTTTGTGACCTTCTAACTTAATATTGTTAGATTAGGGATATTGTTCCATATGCTATGTAATTTTTTGCCATTCTTAGTTTTTACATTTGGAAATCAGCATTCCTATTCGGAGACTGCACATACATTTTGGCCAAGAGGAATTACAGACAACAGTCAGGCAGGGCAAACAACTGATTTGTGGTAAACATTTTGTGTCAAACAAGGAATTATTTAGGACAGATATGGAAAGGAGATAAACTTTTTCTTTGTGTACAGTGTATGTACAGTTGAAGATTTCTTGTTTAAAAGACTTACAAGTGCAAATAAATTCCACTTAATAATATCTGTGTTCTTTTTTCCTGGAAATAATTGATTTAAAGAAAGATCAGAGAGAGAGCAAAACCAGTTCGACTTGCAGAAGCCTTCAGTTCCTGCTATACCTCCGAAGAAACCTCGGCCACCCAAAGCAAACTCTGTGAACAGACCTGGTACCTTACCTCCGAGACGACCAGAAAGACCAGCTGTGCCTGTGACTCATACAAGGTACTGTTCTTCCTCTGTCCGCTGCTTTTGGGTTTAGTGGAAAACCACACATTTAAAGAATTTAGATTTTACAGTTCATGTCACAGTTTATTTTATGATAATCTGTAATTTAAAGAAAAAAGAATAAGCCATCTAGTCATCTGGCTGATTCATAACTATCTTCTCAAGACAAATAGTCTTAGACTTTTCATTGCTAATTCATTTCTATTGAAGAATACACTGTTACTGCAACATCATAGTTTCCACTGCAGAATATGTGGGAAATACCTGCATCAGTATGTTAAACTGATGTTGACTTACTTACTTTACCTCAAATTATTCCAGCTTGGCCTTGGCACTAAGTCAGTGCAAAAGCTTGAATTGTACTGAGGAACAGCATTAGACAATGCATATTTCAAATATTGTCAGTTTGGTTTCAGTCTGTTTACTGTCATCATTTTGATCAATTTTTAGGAAAATATATTTGTCTTCATACAATGTTCCTTAAAATGGTGCCACTGCAGAATGCTGCTGTCAAATATTCATATTCTAATGTTGGTTGTTATTCTATAGTTACGTGATGCTCTTTATCAAAGGCGGTTACAGCCTTTGAGGAGTGCTGAGAAATTGGACTTGCCAGCACAACTTCATTTAATCCCTGCAGAGCTTGGAGAAGCAGAGGTTGCAGAAACTAAAGGCCTTGACTGTAGTCCTGATGAAGTCTAGATGGCTACATTAGTCATCAACATCTGGGTTGTGCACGCTAGACTTCCTTTATGCATAGTAGATAGAAATAGGTGAAAGCCAGAAAAAGCAGTTGCCTAAAATGGGAAAGCTGCACATCTTGCAGAAATACCAGAATACAGGCATAGAAATAATTGTACTATTTTATTGTTTGAAAAAATAACTGCCATTGAACTGCTGGAGCTCAAGTATGCTGATAGTGAATTAAATACCAATATGGAGTATAGGATAGAGTGGAATAAAATCCTAGCCATTGATTCCCGTCATTCCTCCACATGTAGTTAATTAAACAAATGCTCTCAGAGTGGAATCTGAGACGTATAAAATTTAAAAATTGGTGACTGTCTGATGCTGCCAGTTTCATCTTACTGAAGTGCTTTGAATGTGCATCTCTGAGAGAACTTACCCTTCTATCTAGGTGCTACTGCCACAATTTCTTTTGGACTTTTTGGCTTTAAACTAGTTATTCCAAAATATAGTCCACACCTGCTGGTCACATGGGCATGCTTGGAAAACCAAGTATTTGCTGTGACCTTTAGATATAGCTAAGTAATGTCTTCTTGGCAAGACCAATACGTATCCTAGTGTTCAGTTCACTGGCTGGGTGTACAACAGGGTAAGTATTCTTTTGTCCTATCCTTTGCCTGGAATATTTTAAACAAATTGTAAATATTGTAAACATTTACAGCTGTGAAGGGGTGGTTTATTGCTCTTCTGATTTCCTTTTTTCTAAGTACAAAGTTAACAAAGTGAAAAAGCAGATCTAAACAGTAACCCTCTTGTGTTCTTTAACTGTCCAAACTCCTCTGTGTCTAGCACAGAAAAAAAAATAAAAAGTTTTGTTCCTTTTATCTAATACTGTTGTATTTGAAAGAATTTTATTTGTAACAGTAGTTACATCAAAACTTAGACTGGAAGGTGATTTTTAGGGTGGTGATGATGCATGCTGATGATCTCAGTGCTAGTAGTTTCCCTATTAATTTCTTCACCAGCTAATTCAAATTAATGGTTTACTTCATATAGCTGCTCTTTTGCCTGGTAAGTTCTAACTTGTAAGGGTGTCTTGTAGGAAGAGAGCAGGAAGTTCACATAATGAAATAATCCATGGAATAGACTTCGAATTACTTGACTAATTAAGAAATGTGAAACTTCAAATGGAAGCAGTCACTTCAATAAATGAGTTTTAGTTTTAAATCAGTTCAGTTTTATAAGATAGCAAAGATTTTTAAGACCTGCTGGTATCCATTTCCAGAATATGAAAAACCTAAGGCAATTACAATAAAAATTGAAACAGCAGAATTTTTGCTCACCTTTCATGGTTTAAGCCCAGCTGGCAGCTCAGTCCCATACAGCTGCTCACTCATTCCCCCACATTGGAATGGGGGTGAGAATCAGAAGGGCAAAAGTGAGAAAAATCATGGGTTGAGATAAAGACAGTTAAACAGGTAAAGCAAAAGCTGTGCATGCAAGCAAAGCAAAACAGAATTCTTTCAGCATGTCTCATCAGCAGGCAAGTGTTCAGCCATCCCCAGGAAAGCAGGGCTTCATCACAGTAACAGTGACTTGGGAAGACAAATGCCATAACTTTGAATGTCCCCCTTGTCCTCCTCCTTCCCCCAGCTTTTATTGCTGAGCACAGTGTCATATGGTATGGGATATCCCTTCAGTCAGCTGGGGTCAGCTGTCCTGGCTGTGTCCCCTCCAGTTTCTTGTGCACCTTATCACTGGCAGGGCAGTGTGAGAAACAGAGAATGCCTTGACACTGTGTAAGCCAAGTTCAGCAATAACGAAAACACCTCCCCATGTTATCAACACTTACTTCATCTCAAATCCAAAACAGCATTGTGCAGGTAGCTATAAAGAAAATTAACTTTATCTCAGCCAAAACCAGTACATTATCCTAGGGGGAAAAATTGCTGTATTTATAAAGTGAGTTCCAAGAGATTTGTATGGCAGCTGCTGAGTAGAACAGGGTTTGTATTTTTTTCCGTTCTGAGTAAGTGGCTTGCATCTTACGTATCTCACTGATTTTTTGTGGTGATGATCGTTATTCCATTTAAATAGAATCATTCTTCCTTGGAGACAGGTTAGGACTTCAAGAGCAAAAGGAAAGACAAAATCCATGTGGGACAGAGAACACCTGTCCATTTCCTCCAAAGGCTTCATAGCTTATTTAACCTGTGATTATACAATTTACAGATGAGTCAATTCTTTGGAGTAGGCAAGCCATAAACACATACAGAAAGTACATTTTTACAATCAGTCTAAACCAGTCTGCCTCCATGCTGCTGCTAACTGGGGCAGGTTCCCTCTCCTGGCAGCCTGTTCCCATAGCCTCCCCTATGTCAGCACCAGCATTTGTGCAGCCGTTCAGCCATATGGGTCAGAGAGTTGCTCCAGATGGCAATTAATCAATTTGCAGTGGTATTCTATTAGTGTGAGGTTTCTTTCAAGCTGATCATCTGTCTGATCAAGCTGACAGCCTATCTGCATAGGCATCAGTGGAGGAAGGGAGACACTGTGACCAAGAAGGGCTGGCTCCACTACTTCCACAACAGTATGGATGTAGATTGGCATAGTAAGTCTTTTGATTCTTCTGAGAACAGAGATGGGGGGAGTTTAAGGGGTTGTTGTCGCATCTTGGTATCTTTTGTAGTCAAATGGTAAATGTTGTGACTTTCAGCCCCCGATCACACTGTCCTAAGACTGTCCTCCAAAACCATACTCGCACATTTCCTAGAGCACTTCGAAATCACATGGTGCTCTCAGTTTGCTGGGAAATGCATGTGTGCAAAACAAAGTATGTAGTCAAATGTTCATTGCCCTGTCAGCCAAGAAGCTATGTTGCTTCTTATAGATTTACAAATACATTAAGCAATTTTAAAAAATAAATTAAAGGCCAAAAAATAAGAAAGCTAATTGATCAGGTGGAGCACTTGGAGAATACCCTTGCTATCATCTCACTAATTAATAATTTTTTCTAGGAATGTGTTATATTTCTACTGTTTCCTTCCCGGTGCAGACTGCCTGCCATATTGACAGCTGTGTAGCACAATTAATTTTTTTCAGGTCATAAACTGTTTGCCTATCATTTTTAATTCATAGAACACTTACTGCCCTAGCACAGTGTTGAACAGCATATATGTTCACTTAATCTGTGACTTCCTCCATTTTTTAATACAAATTTTCAGACTTCCTGCATTCTGAAATAGGGTTTCCAGCTACTTTGTGCTTTGCTCATAAATGGCTGCCATGAGCTGAGGTTCAGGCCATCTGTCATCAGCTTATGGCATCAAAAGCAAAGACAAATGAAAAAAATCAACAAGATTCAGGAACTCGCTATGTATTTTACTTTGATGGCTAATTGTTGCTCTTCATAGAAATGCACCTCTGCCTGTGTTGTTTCAGGGACAGATCTATATTTTTGCCCATAATTTAGGTACCTTACATACATCATAATTGTTACAGTGCTATGCTGGGAATAGTCATTGTGGAAAAACTATGCTATGTGTTAGGTGACCTGATAATGACAGTAAGTACAATTTATTGCATTAATTGGACACTTGTTATCACAGTAAATGTGACAGGGTTTTGTCTGCGTGACTTGTGCAATGCCAAGCTACTCACCTACCACTTGCCCTTTTTAAATTAAATGTTTCAGTAGTTACATTATTTTAGTAAACTTAAATAGTTGTGGGATAGAAAGTTCTATGAAGAAAGAATAATCACATTGCATGTGTTTGATCTCCTCTTTGATTTAAAAATAGTTCCTCTGTATAAAGCATCACAAATCATGACACTTGCCCATTCCAAAGACATTTCAGACAGAGCAGATGATCTTGGTTCTTTAGACCTGTGGAAAAATATTAACAGTCTAATCTCATAAGCAACATGCAAAAATGTGCTAGTGTAGCTGCATTTAAGAGTAAATACCAGGAACCACTGAAATGCACAATGCTAGCTTGAGATTCTCTCCCTTTCTGCAGTATTCTAGATAGTCCATTGCTATAGTTTATGCAAGCCTATTAATTAGAAAAAAAATTAAATAACATATTGAAGAATGTCCCTTTGCCCTTAGATTTCCTTCACGTTGAGATGCTGTAAACATCTGAAGAATTATTCAGGACACTACGGTGTCTAAAATAGGCTATTTTGACAGGTGTTAAGGAGAAATGAGATAAGGTTAATCTATACAGCAAGTCTACTTACTGGAGATTGCTCTGTCTGACACGTTGCTGTTACTCTGGTGCTACAAAGGAAGAATATTTCACTCTCCCATTAGTAATTACAAGTTAGCTATTAAGTTGCTGTAACCCACATGAAAACTCCAGTAAAATATCTGCTCTTCTTGATTCAAATGCAGGAGTGATAGTCCAAAAGTGGAATTAGTGGGCAGTACAGTATCCAGCACTCTAGAGAAAGACTCCTCTGAAAGAAGCAATGACATCGGTAAGTTATAGTGCTTTTTAAAGTTTACCAAAGAAGCTTATGATGTACATTTCTGCTTTTTAGCGACTTTGTTATGATTTGAAAGGTAGATTGAGGGTTTGTGAATGCATTTCTATCATGTTTTGATTGCAGGATTAAAGGGTCATTTCTGCTTTACTTAAAAAGCTTTATCAGGGCTTTCTGTTAAAAAAAATAAAAAGGAAATATGGAATGGTGAGCTATTTTGAATAGGAGGGCTTTTGTTATTTCTGTTTAAAAGTCTAAAGTAAGTGAAAAGACCAACAATAATAAGTCATACTTGTTTAACAGATGTAATATTAGTGCTGCCCTACTTTTAATGCTACAAAAGATTGTGGGTTTGGTGCAGTTAGTAATCTTTACCCTCTCCAATACACAGGAACAGAGACCCAGTTCAGGCCAATTTGAATAAATTTTACTGCAAACGCCAATTAAAAACACTCTAAATTTCTCTCAAAAATAATAATCTGTGTTCCTGCAACACAAACAGTTTAATCGGTAAATCACCTGGACAGGAGTAACAAGAGGTTACTTCTCTGTCTTCTCTCATCCTCCTTCCTTCTCAAGTTGGCAGTGCAGGAGAGATGATTGCTGGGGTGGGTGCCACAGTAAATGGCACTTGGAAAGCAAGGTGCTCTGACTCTTGTCCCAGGGCTGTAAGCAAAAGCTGCGACAGCCATCTTCTACCTCTACTTAGAAATATACCGGCGGCAGCTGCTGCCGTCATTCTCCTGCAGTCGCAGCTGTGCCATGAGAGACCTGTTTTTGTAAAAGGCAGAACGAGGGTACCCTAATGTGTAAGCATTGCTACCTTTCACTGGTACCTTTAAATGTTATTTCAGTGTGGCTGGTTTCTACCCAGACTGCTTTATTAGTAAAACTTTTCTGTAAAATAGTATACATTCAACAGCTAAACCTCCCTTCTCTTTGGACTTGAAAGCAGAGCTATAGTTATAGACGGAGTGTAATTGCAATGAAATCAGTTGTTGCATTGATTTCACATAGGTTTATGAGCTTTCCACCATCCATATGTCTGCTTTTTTTTTAACTTTCTGCTCTTGGTATGGTTTATGATAGTAACATTCTTCTGGAGAAGCAAGTAGTATGTTTTTCCCAGATTTCCATTTGGGATAAACACAGAAAACTAGAAGCTTGTGATAAATTGCATGAATGTTTTTATTGTAGACATTCATACAAAGGAATGGTGTGGAAATACAGTGAAATTCTACTATTGAGTGTTTGTTACCCATGTTTACAAATTTTCATTAAGCCTTTGCGTACTTGAAAGAGAAAGCTATGATTGCAAACAGCGTATAGTGGTGTGATGGAAGTAAACTTTTTTAATCCTTGTTTTAACTTCATAGAATCATTTCCTTGGGGTCCCTATCAGGATAAAGACTTGGTGTTTTGTGTTGTTGGGGATTTTTTGGGTTTTTGGTTTGCTTTTTTTTCCTGGGTTTTTCTAACAATTTATAAAAGGTTTGGTAGGAAATTTGATTTATAATAGGTTTCGTTAATTCCCAGAACTTACGGGGTGTGGGTTGTTCTGGATTTTTTTTTAAATGGAGAATAGGAGCCAACAAGAGTCCATAAACCAAACCACATACACACCATGTTGCAAAGGGTTTACCTGATGACCTCCTGTTACCACTAACAAGGGGAACCTATTGAGTCCAAGGCTGAAATAGTGTGAACACTTAAATAAGTATAACTTGATAGGGTCAAACCAGAATGGCATTTACAAGGGCAAATCATGTCATTCTAGCCTGTTAGACAACTCATTAAAAGAAAAAAAGAAACAAATTATGATTTTGGAATGGAAGTGGAACCAAAGATCATAAATGTTACAAATTTTCACGCAGCTTTTGATGGCTCATATAAAATATCGTTAAAGAAATAAACAGCCTTTTAAAAGAGGGTAGAGCAATAAATGAAAACTTAATAAGCCGAAACAATTCACAGTGGATTAATGTCTTTTACTATGAGAGACTGTATGGAGTTCAGAACAGTTTATGGGGCAGAGTAATTGGAAAGATTTATGATAAATGTGTTAGATTTATTATTTATTTACAAAGAGAACAACGGGTTGGAGAAATTGTGTGGCTAAATGAGTTATTAGTAAAAATGATGGATGAGTGAGTGGAGCTGTCCGGTGTATTCCAAAATACTGATGCATGGGGCAGTGTGAGTCCAGATAATACTTAACTATGATATGTGTTACTGGTGTTGCCCAGTGTCGTGTACTTTTGGTAGGACAGGCTTAGCTTCTCTGAGATTCATCCTTCTAGTCAAAAATGGATCTGATTAAATCTACCATTTGATGTCTTTTCAGTAACCAAATTTATACAAGGAATTAGAGTGGGCCTCTGTGACAGACAAGGTGGGGCTTAGCGGTAGCCTTTGAAGAAAGTGGAAGTTAAATAGCCTTTGCTATTTAACAACTCAGATGCACAACCATTCTTGTTACTGGGATTCTCTTTATTCCTCCATTAACTCCGATGCCATTCCTGGACACTTAGAGCTGTTAGGGGGGACAGAGGAAAAAGCAGCAGTCAGTTGCAAGTTGTCGCACCGTCTTCCATGCTTATGCCAATTACTGGTGGTGAATCATGTACTGAAAATGAATACTACAGCACTCTCCTGGCTTTTGTGCACTCGTCATGTTAAGCTGGATAATGGTTGTCACTTTCTTAGTTCCATAACTAGTCTAAAGCTTTTATTCTTTTGTTCAAAACAGAGCTGTACAAAAGCACTGCATAGATTTTTGGTTATAAAAGCAAACCATACAGTAGCTGGATGGAGAGCACTTTGCCATCCTGTGATACCATTTTTAAGGATTTCTAAGTTGGTTCTTTTTCTTTATCATGGTAAGACCAAAACCTTTATGATAAGGGAGGAAAAGGTACAGGGTCCTTTCATATGCCAGGTCCCAAAAAACAAACAAGTGATCAGCAACAACAAAATCAGTAATTCCATCAACGACTGAGAAGCAATATGCAGAGGGGAATTGGGGAATCCAGGTTCAAAACTTGTGTTCTGTCTAGGTCCTCAATTCTAGATCAGTGTTTTAAACATTGCTTGTTTAAAAAATCGCATTTTTCTAATTGTTTTCTAAGTAATATTACAGCAGTAGATTGGTGTTGTCTAACCAGAAGACCCAACACCTTTAAAAACACCATTAAAAACGTCCTCACCCAACTTTAGCAATCAGTCAGGAAAGTCACAAATGCTGAGGTGATGTGTAATACTGTACATAACATTCTGTTGGTTGCATATATAAAAAGTTATTTTTATGTAGATGTTAGCACATGGCTTGATTTCACTAGCATGTTCTGTGGAGTTGTGACTTGACATTTAAATTTCTTGATGATAATACAGAACTGATTACAATTTTGCAATCTGTTCTGACAAGAGCAATTCCTGTTCAGCAACATCTCTGCTGATTATAGATATAATGGCAGCTATTACCAGTGTTGCTCATGCTTTTGCTTCTTTCCACAATCCTTACAAAAAACATTGGAAAACTAGCCTTCAGAATATATTATTTAAGAGGAACCATTCCCCATCCCTCCTCACTTCCTCTGTTTTCTTTTTCCCTGTTTTAAGTGATGCCTTTACTTTCCTTTTCACACATCTTTCATCCAACTTTTCCTATTTACATCTTTTTGCCATGGGTAACTCTTCTTCATTTCGTGAGGGTAAGGCACTTTTTTTCTCCATTTCCTTTCTGTCTTGTCTTTGCTTTAGTTGACAGTACATAGCAAGCATATATAAAAAGAAGTATTTTGTAGAACACCTATTATATACATGGCTATTATAGCTTTTCTTTTAATTGAAAGTTGAAACTGAGTGTACTGTGACAGAAAATCTTGCACCATAGCATTGAAATGACAAATCATTATAATTTATTGTTGTACCATAAGAAATTTTAGTGACGGACGTGACATGCACACACTGTTTGTCAATGCTGTGGTTTCATTAACCTGTTCTTACAGACAGATGGTGTGATTGCAAAGTTTAATGCATATATTTCATTGTGATGTCCTTACATGTTACAAAACAAAAGAATATTCAGCAACATGCTAGGATGGTTCTCTAGTCTGAAAGAGATAAACCGAAACAAAACATACAAATCTGAAGAGTACTCACTGGCTTTCAGTGGAAAGTGCATGGTTGTGTCGCCCAAGACTTTATTTCCACTATTGCTATGGTTAAATCCCAGTAGTTACATCTGTTGTAAAATCTCATGTACCAATGACTGCTCTGGATTGACAGGGGCTTTCTGAGCTTAGTTTAAAAGACTTCTAAAGCAACATAAGCTACACTGAAGCCCTATTCTACCAACAGAAGAGTACTCCTTATGTAGGATTACATTGATTTCAACAGCTTAAATTCATGCCTTATTGTGTAACTTGACTTTTTTTTTAAATTTCATGAAGAATTGCCATATCTGAGGGCCAGAGTAATGACAGAAACATCCAGCACATATAATAGCTTACTAGATCAGAAACTAATGCTTCCAGAAGATTACTGAATTATGCCAATTAATTATTGGTATTGAGTTATTTCTGCAAGTCAGGATTTTAGCTCTATATATATACACACACTTTGGAATCCAGTCCTGAAACAAGTCTCGTCTATCTGAAATAGGCTTGCTTTGAAATCATCTAGCACTTAAAATCATATGGATTTAGGCTGAGTGATTTAAAGAATAAGCCACAAAGAAATAGAAATAGAAAATCTACTGTGGTAGCAGTTTCAGTGCTTTGCAAAAAGACTGAGCTGCACAGGCGCTTCCCACACAGAGCCAAGCAGACACATCTTTCCAATATTTTTCCTGGCTCTTTACACATTTTGCATAGTATTTATGAAAGCAGTTAATAATCTTTATCAGTGCTAACATAAGGCACATAT